GCGTGGAGCACTGGGTGTTATACGCAAACAATGAATCATGGAACACTACATCAAAAACTAATGATGTAATGTATGGTGATTAACATAACATAATAATAAAAAAAAAAAACACCGCTAAACAACTACATCCCCAAATAAGCTTTAAACTCTTGCCTACAATGGAATTTGATGTTTTTCCTTTGTTCTACAAAGGGAGAAAATTCCGTTTTATCTGATACACATTCTCTTTTTGAACATCAGCAAGCAGGATTTTTCTTATGTGGTTAACAGCCATGTAATTCTAATATGAAAATCATTTTTAACGTTCTCATTTTATTACAAGTTGGAATTTGGTATACATTTTTGAATTGCATCTAAAGGATTTTCATTACTTCCTAACCCAACAGGGTTCGTGTTAAGCTTTTCTCACCCATAACGTGTTTATGGCAATGGCGCCCGTACATATAGAGCCCGGAGGGAAACGGCGTGGCAATGGCGCCCACACATATAGAGCCCGGAGGGAAACGGTGTGGCAATGGCGCCTATACATATAGAGCACATGTTCCTTATTTTCCACATACTCCTTATTTCAATGGGTCCTAAAATATTAAAGATGTGGGTCATGGGGATTCTTTAGAGTAAACTGTCTTCCTCTATAAATAATCTCTTGGAAGTGTTCCTTTAATTTAAATCAAACACCCTGTCTGATAATCACAGTCACTTAGCCTGACTCTTTGTGATGCACCATGAATTTAAATGTTCTCAGATACTTTGGTAATTGAACCGGTATCAATGCATCACCATTTCAGTAATAAGAAACAACAGCTGGGAGAACAGTGGAAGGAAAAACATGTCATAAGACATATTTGATCTCACTGGAGAAATAAGACTTCCAGCAATTTGCAAGTGAAATTTAGTTTTATGATTTAGGCTTTATTATTTCACAGCAAAAAAGGAATTAGTAAGCAAAGGGCCTAACGGGTTCTCTAGAGAATCTCACACCGGTGCAGAAATACTCCCGATAATATGTTCATTGGTATTCGCCCAGTAGTTCAGCTGTACTGGGACCTCCAGTGAATGGGCCTCTGCCGATTTGCTTCCAGAGGCATTTCCATAACTCTCTATGCATCACAGTTCTGGTATTCAGCAAATTTCCATTTTCTTAATTTTATACTATTAATTCTATTTACACCTGTCTCCAACCCCCTTATTCCAAATGACTTACTCCATCCCCTGGAGAATAGAAATGGCTACAGAATCCTGTCTTGTTTGTGACTCAGCTCTCAGACTACACAGACTGACACTTTCTGCATTTGCTCATGTCTATATAAAACCAATCCAGTGATGCAAATAGCAAAAAAGAACACAGTCAACAAAAGTCACATTTGTAGTGGTTTCTAAGTGTTAGAAAACAACAACAAAAAAATGACCAGTGGAAATGTTTCGAAATAGTAACGAGTGCTAACGTGAGGGAACAGAAAAGTAAAGGAAAAAAGATCCCGTTAAAATAGTTGTAGGGTAATGGACCTCAGTGTGAACACCCGATTCTTTGACTTCATTTTTAGTATATGTGCTGCCAAAGCGAGCACTCTTTAACTTCATTTTTAGTGCTGAAAACTAGTTACCAAGTTGTTGCCCCCAAATATTTTATTCAACAACCCACTTCCATTTAAAGATGGCGTATCAGGGCAGAGCCTTCTGGCTGCCACACGTAGCTGTTGTCCACGGACTTACATGCCCCGACTGCTAGGGACTCAGTTGGGGAAGGACGCAAGTCTTGTTTTGGAGTGGGTACCATACAAAACTGGGTGGCCCCAATTCCCTTTCTTTGTACATGTCTCCTAATTTCATAATCAGACTCAGGGACAGAAGGGGATTACGGCAATGATGCAGCTAAAAAGCTCCTTCAAGGTATTTCAGTTCCCATAACTTTGCTTTGATGCTCTGAAAGGGCAGAGCTTTCACTTGGATGAGGTCTTTTTATTTTCCTAGGTCCAAATCAGAACAAACGAGAATGTGCCTAATGGTTTCTTTCTTTCTTTTTTTTTTTTAAGAACAAAACAGGTATATTTCTATTGGACTACCTGATACACAGTGCCTAATGGTTTCTAAAAGCTCTCTGAACATGGTGGACTTGGGAGGAACATGATGCAATGTCTGAGGCCAGATGTCCCATCCACAAACAGAACCAGATCTGTTTTGATACATATGCAGCAGTAAACCTATTCGTACTAATCCTAGGTAGGTAATATCCGACGAAAGCACCAGGTTAAAAAAAAATTGTTTTTTGGCTTTGGAATTCAGTCATATTCAGGGAATACCATAAGAAGCAGCAAAAGAAGAACAACCAATACCTACAGACAACTATGACAATAATCATGGCACTGGCTGACATTTAATCAGCAAATACTCTGTGTTAAATCCTTGGTAGATATCCCCTTTGTCCCACACAGTAATTCTGTGAAACAGACAGGATTAACAACTGCATCTAACAGAAGAGGAAATTCAGACACTGGGTGCTAACCCAAGGTCACGCCAGCCAGGAAATAGTGGAGCCAGAGTTTGAACCCAGTTCACCACAGTTTACCCTCTTAGCCATTAGGTTGTAGTGCTTAATCCAGCTCAGAGGTTCACCTACAGTGGTGAATACCAAAGGTTTTGAAAACACATATGATAAAACTCAGGTCAGGTTATGGCAGCAAAAAAAAAAAAAAAAAAAAGTGGTCTGAAATATTTATTTGAGATCTATAAGATGACCTCCTCACCATAAATTAAATTCATTTGATTTCAATCTTATGACATATCACTATATATTTAAAATTAAAGAAGATAAGTTTTGCCACATTGCTAAATGTGGGACAAACATAAGGTATACTAGATAATACTTTGAGGGGCGCCTGGGTGGCTCAGTTGGTTAAGCGTCTGCCTTTGGTTCAGGTCATGAGGGTCCCATCAGGGTCCTGGGATCAAGCCCCGCAACGGGCTCCCTGCTCGACAGGCGGCCTGTTTCTCCCTCTCCCTCTGCTGCTCCCACTGCTTGTGTTCTCCTGCTCTCTCTCTGCCAAATAAATAAATAAAATAAATAAATAAAATCTTTTAAAAAAAGATAATACTTTGAGAATGAGGAAAGTTTATTTCATGGGGTGACTTTCATAGTCACTAAACACAGAACAACTCACACATTTCAGTATTACATTGACTCTAATATCATTTTTCATATATCATTTCTATAGTGGTATAAGAACATCTGCTCATCTGATTTATCTGCAGCTTAGCACAATCAACTACTTACCTTTTTAGTTCAGGAGAATTAAAAGAAAACTCATTACACCCAAAAAGAGCTGAGAAGCTAATGAATCTGTAGATCAGAGCAAATTAAGACCTATTAACTGTAAAGAGCCTGAAATGCCCATATATTATATACTGGACACGTAGCAGCCAACAATCAACACGTAAAACGCTGATATGCTGATGAGCAAAGAAATGGAACAGATCCTAGAAACTGAGGACCTTGTCCTTTTGGTGGCGCTGTTGCTATGCGCTAGTGTCAGGAAAACGGAACTCCTAAAATTTGCCACTGAGCACAAGAAGCTTTGCTTTTGCATGATCAAGCTGCTAGAAATTTGGGGGTGAGGGAGAGAAGTGAAGGCTAAATAAAAGAACAGGAGATAAGATAATCCTGCCATGTTAAAAGGTAAAGACAATATTTTCATGGTGTTATGTAAAACCTATGAAAATGGCAAAAATGTTGCAAGGTTAATCAAGACCGTAAATAACTTGTCTGAGAACCTCACCATATGCTTGTAATTTTATTAAGTGCACTTTGCCTT